GGGCATAGGGATAGTTGATGTTGGATCTTTGTGCTACTTACACAGGACCCGATTTTCCAGTGAATGTTCTGTGCCACACCCTGTACAAGAGGACGTTATCTAAAGTGGGTGTAGGAATCGATATATCGATTTTCAGGAGTGTTCGACTCTTTCGCTGGTTCTGGAGTGGATATTTGCATCTTCTCCATCCTCACTCTATTGTTTCGAGTAACTGAAAAGACGGCCACACCCACTACTGTCGTACTGAAAGGTTCGTAATCATCAGATCACAGCGGGAGAAAGGCCTCTAACAGACTAAGAGTCACATTTTCAACAGTTGGATTTCATTTGATGGGCTTGCGACTGCGAGAAGATTCATTGCTCCAAGCAAAAACTTTTCATGGCATGGATAACCAAAAGAGGATGTTTGAAATGGAATGAGATCGTCTCCTGGCGCACGATAAATCCCCCAAGACGGGTAGGATTAATATGCCTGGCAGGGCGGAATTCCGCGACCCTGAGAAGGCGCTGTGTAATGCCTCCGACCCAAACGCCCTCCACGCCCGCCCGCCCACAAATGGACGACCGTTCCTGACGCTCTAATCGATTCATTTGCTAAGCAAATTATGAAGCGAAGGGATTGGTATGAAGCGGCCGTGATGCTGCATGGATATATGAGTATGCAGCCGTACCTTCGGTAGCGGTTATTGGCAAGATGCCAGTGGGAAACTCGTCCGAACTTGCTTCCTGAGTCGTGTAGAGAAGCCTTTTTTGCAAGTTTTTGACCGTTTCACTCCGTTCTTTCGCCATTTCCCCACTAGAAGCGCCCTACTAGCATTTTAGGCCAAGCATAAAATCATCGTGCCAACTGCCTTTAAGCCGGCCAAAATGACTGTGAGGATCGTGTAACTGTTTTGCTCGAAAGCCGTAACTACCGTACTTTTATACGTTTACCACTGGAAGACATTGGAATCTGAAAAGATGTGAGAATGCTAGCCGGGGTTATGCCGAGATTATCGCGGGTTAATTTCAGCGAACGCGGCGAGGAATGTAGATGAGGTGTCTCTGTGCCATTCCGTTCCACCAGAGTGGAGTATCACGTGTAGAGAATCATTGCCACCATTTCAGGAGTGAACGCTGTTATCGGTTTCTTCTACCGTGCTGCCATGATGGGTGACATCTCAGAAATGGCATGGAGGTATTTTGCTCTTTCCGTGCCCGTCGCAGCCATCTTTGGACCACTGGGTAGCTTCCTTGGCTCACATCTCCACAGACAAGTAAGCGTAGTATGATTTTTTTGAAGAGAGCGGAATACTCAGAGCAATAGTAGTTTGGGGTGCAATGCGATAGCGCCGCTATCCGCAGTTATGTTCTGCCTGTATTTTTTCGTCTTGTCAATACTTTTCAAAGCCTCTGGATGGATATATCAGTCAGCTCCTGCTCATTTAGATGGCGCAGACAAGCAGATATGGTGGCATAGTTACTCATCGCATCGCACCCCCCCCCCGCTATTAGGTTGTCGCATAAGTTCTTATACACGACTTTTTTGTAAATATCTCAATAGCGAACCAGCCTGAAGATTAGAGGTATGCACCATCACCATTCACTACTCGACGCCAGCGCTCAGGCAGCTTGTCGATTCCATCCTTCCAGAACGACGGAGGCTGGGACTTGAAGAAGTCGTCGAGCGCCTTTCTGACCTGATCCTTTGTTTCGAACTTTTTTCCGTCCAGATAGCGCTGCAGGTGGCTGAACAGCCAGTAGTCAGAAGGAGCGAGGTCAGGGCTGTAGGGAGGGTGGGCGACCATCAGCCATCCGTACTTCTCCAGCTCGGCCTGGGTCGCCTTTGCAGTGTGAGGTCGGGCGTTGTCATGGTGGAAGTAGATTTCCGCATTCCTTCCACGAGTACGGTCGACGTGATCTTTCAATTTCCGCAGCTAGGGTCACGTATGTGGAAGCGTCAATCGTCTATCCCTTCTCCAGCAGCTCCCAGTACTCCATGCCTCTTCTGGACCACCAACAGGACAGGAGAACCTTTTTGGGGTAAAGGTCGGCCTTTGGGTGCTCTGGCTGTTCTCCTTTGTCGACCCACTGCCGCTTCCTCACAGGGTTATCGTAGAGGACCCACTTCTCATCTCCAGTGATCATCGAGTTGAGAAAGTGAAGCCTCTTTTGGAAAGTGAGGAGAGAAGTGCAGGTGGTCACCCTCCTCGAGAGTCATAAGCGGACAGTTCATGTGGGACCCATCGACCAAGCTTTGCTACCTTGCCGAGCTTTTCTAGTCCACGTGCAACCGTCGAATGATCATAGCTAAGCATGGTCGCCATTTCTCTGGTGGTGAGGTACGGGTCCTCCTCCACGGTGGAACGTAGTACTTCCAAATCCAACTCCATCGGCCGACCCGACCTCGGAGCATCTTCGAGAGAAAAGTCTCCTTTCTTTAATTTGGCGAACGACAATTCTTTGCAATGTCATGTAAGAGAATGACGTCTCAGCGCTATGTATTCACCAGTTGGTATGGGCTTCTTTGCATTCCAGCCGAAATTCGTGGAGCAAAACCAAACAGTGGCGCAGGTACGTTTTGTCACAGTGCAAATTGTGCGACATTGTGTACTGCAAATGCAAGCTCGGTGAGTGATAGCTAGTGTAATGAAAGAGTATAATGTACACGTCACGCACACGTGATGACGTAATACCAACATCCATGCGAACGAAATAGGAGAGGAATCAAACGGTACGTATAACAATTATGCGACACCTAATACCTTTGCCGTCCCACCATCAAGCATGCTTTTTTCCAGAAAGCCAGTACTACTATTTATAGGTAATCGCTGCATTTGTATACATACTGGAACTGGTTTTCTTACTATCGGGCTTTCTTTCTAACAAAACCCTGCATGGCGGTTGATTGTTGTAGGAGGTGAGCTCAAAGTTATCATCGCCTATCATCCAATCAATACAATCGATATATCGATTTTCAGCTGGCATCATATTGGGCGGTATGGTGTTCTTCACGTTCATTGCAAAGGCTGGGCAAAGAATCAAATGAAGGACCGTTTGAAGAATAAACAGAATTTGAAAGAACGGGGAGGGACGAATAAAGATTTAATCAATCTACCACTGGCGAGCTCGCCGAATAGGCGCTGATTAACCTTGACAGCGAGCGTGAATTGTCGCAATACACGCGCATACACCCTTTGTCTGCAGTTTGTGTATTGCCACAATTCAAACGTTTTGATGGATCGCTTCTTTTCCCTTGGATAAGAATGCGTCTTGAAGCCAAGTCTCACCCTGTAATAATGTTCAGTGAGCTTATGCTTAATGCTTAGTTCATGATGGCGTGAACAAGCTGCTCATTGGAGTAATTCATTAATATTATTACAAAATAATAGTCAGTGGGGCGGTATTTGCACTTTTTATGATAGCGCCGAATCGCTAAGATATGGTATTTAGGTTGTTCGAAAAGTCTTTGCAGCCCACTTTGACCAATTTTCGGACCAAAATTTCACACTAAAAGACAGCCTCCAATTTAATATAGGTAATCACCACTAAGGACTAGGACTAGTGCCCTTCTTTTGCACAGCTTCTCATTTCCATTCTTATAGAACTACGGCAACTATGATAAGAAGAAGAGGTGACCTCATTTTTGAGTAGACGTCGATTTTCGGAATTTTTGCCTTCTTAAGGATGAGGTAGGGATCAAAAATGGTAGTAGTTAGAGACTGCTAACTTTGATGAATAAGCTGGGTATGGTCGCATTCTCAGATCAAGATCCACGATCTTTTGGTGTGGCCTGATCCTAACATGCGGTCTTCGCATTGCCGAGCGGTAGAGAAAAATTGAGTATTTTTGAAGAATTCAAGCGTGACGTCATCCATGTTGTGAGGTTGGTTAGAGTGGACTGTAGTCCTTACCGTTATGCTAGTATCCAGAGATACCGCTTTGAAGTCCCACCAATAACCTACTGAAATCTTTATCCCATGCACATCTGCTTTTGGCTGTGCAATCTACTTTTCTCTCTGAGAGATCCTGCGAGGAACACATGTGCAAGATGTACGCAAGGACCCCACCACTCTCTACCAACCACAAGATCTCACAAATGTTCCTCCAGTGTGTACAAGGAAAAAAAACTCAGTCACGGTCATTCGGTATGACTTGTCAGAGGGGTTCAACTCATGAGGCATCCTTCATAAAAAATTTTCCGATAACCGAGACTGCGGAGAAGCATGGCAGTTGTCAGTTAGGTGGAGCCTAGAGAGGTTGCCAACTTACTGGTGGTTACGTTCGGCTGCGCCTCACGAATCTTGAGTAAAGGACGCGTCCATTCTGTGCTGGTGGCCGACCTATACATTGCCTACTTCCGAGTTGAATAAGTCCAGCCTGGAAGCGCTGATGCAAAAGGAACTCTCTGCTATGGCAAGCGATATCCTTCCTCAAGACAACGTAAGTGTTAGCTTCCTCGACTGATGGCGAGTTGCCCGTAACATAGGAACTTCAATAATTATGGATATGGTTCGAGAAGTACCTCGATCTCTGAGGTATTTTTAAGCTTTGAAAACTTCCACGGAGCCATGATATACCCATTTTCAGAAACCCCAGGAGACACATTCTCCACTAATCAGAGATAAAAACATTCAAAATGATTTTTGGTCTTTTTCTAGAATAGTTCAAACAAAGTGTCGCAGGACTTTTCGAACAACCTAATAGTAAGACTTCTAGTGATAATTAGTGCCAATTTGCAATACATTTGATAGTGTTTAATTCATTATGATAACAGTATTTATGTGGTCAAAAGTGACGTTTAGATCTTCTACATTGTCCAGATCCATCTAT